AACCTTTATCTTTTAGTTGCAAGCCTGTTGGACTCCGTTCCAGTGGAACTTAACATCAGTTCTACTTCTACTGGCAGCCCGCCACTACAACACTACCCAATCTCGAACTACCAATCAGAAGATCGGAACCAGTCCAGAACCGGACCTTCTCCAGAGCTTTACTTTATTTCTCAATAAATCTGTTAACCCTCTCAGTGGTTGTTGTTGTTGTTTGCGATCCGGCCTCTGGTTCATGACAAAATAAATAAATTTGTATGACTCATTTGTGATTGTCTATTGTTTTCGTTGTTATCCACTGTTGTCATCACGATGTGTTAAAATCCAGGTCTCTCTTGTAAATGAGTCCTCGTGGCTCAATGGGACTAACCTGTTTAAATAAAGGTTGAATGAATAAGGTCGGTGGTGTTTCGTTAAAAGTGGTGGGACACAAACTTATTGACCTTAAATCAAACACAGAGTAGCCAAAGATTAAAGTTCTCCATTACAGAAAAAATCCTAAAACTGAAGATGAACTTATAGTATAAAGCTGTGACCTCCATACACTTGAAATCATCCCTGATGTTCTTGTCTCACTGTTTTCAATCCTTCTGAGCAGGGCTTAATTTGTAAACAGATCGATGCCGGAAATTAAACAGCAGGCGGGCGGGAGGGTCGGCATAGGGACAGGGGACTTGGTGTGAATGGGGAGGGGTCTGGTGATCCTCCCCCAGAAAATTTTGAATAGATGTGATTTTCTGCATTTTGGTGTATTTTAATGGGTTGTTAAACATCTATGTTTACTTACATTTGTAAACACTCCACTTCTTTCAAGCATCCTACCCCCCACTTACTGGATGGTTTTGAGGCCGACTCTTCTTTGCTGAATTCAATCCTGCTCGTTGTTGTCCGACTCCACATGTGAAACCTCCAGGTGCCTCCTCTGTCTGTTCTTGACGGCTGCCTGTGAGCTCCTGCCTGCGTATGACTGCCTGGTTAGCTCAGCACTCACCGTCAGCACTCTTTTACAGGAGGCGACTTTTTCAAGGGTAGAAGCAGAAACACTTCCTTGAAGAGGCAGCTCGTATGTGATATTAAGAAGCTCATAAGTGGCTGTTATGTTTAAAATCAGTGTTTATCTAATTATTTTTAGTTTACATATCCAATATAAGTTTTATTCGTTCAAGGCAGTCATATTTGTTCATAATTTTGAGTTTAAAAACAGACTTGAGTTCTTTCACTGAACCAGGGCTCAGGTTTGGCTTTAGGATGCATCAATTTTGATGGAGCCACAGAGTCCAAAATGGTTTGACAGGAGGAGCCAAACCAGGAGTACAGCTGCTCTTGCGTTGTGTTGATTGCAAATGTTAATCAGTTGTAGACAAACAGCCAATTGCTTTTTGCAAGTTTGATTAAAATCCATTAGTGGTACATGATATATGCTGGTAATGCACACAGAAAAAATAAAATAAATAAAGCAAACTCAATCTAAAACAGCCCTCTCTCAAAGATGAACTATGATTTCTGTACCTGAGTGGAAGAGAAGCCTCCATAATGGTTCTGCTGAGTCGTCAGCCACCTAACAATGTTGGAGGCGTAGCCCAGGTCTTCAGTAGAGTGGGAGGGAGTGAGTTTGGCCATCAGCACATACGAGCTAATCTCCACAGACAGAGAGACTGATGTTTCTGATGCTGTCTGAGACCAGTGGGTTGAACCCCCTAAAAACAGCCGTTCACAAACAGTTTTAGTTGCTGCAATGAACTCTGAATCAGTCCCATCAGAAAGAATACTCACCTTGTTTCACTGCAATTGAGTCAAGATGCTGCAGAAGGTGAGCACGAGTCTCCATGTCCCCTGCCAGTGAGAAGACGTACGCCAGCAGAGCTGTAGTGTAGGTGTTGCTGAAGTCATTGATGGACTCTTTGAGCCATGACAGACTCTTGTGCATTACAGGATCCTTGAACAGAGTAAACAATAATTAAAATGTTTTTATTTTACAAACCGGATTCCAAAAAAGTTGGGACACTAAACAAATTGTGAATAAAAACTGAATGCAATGATGTGGAGAT